GCCTTACTCCTGCCATGAGGTACACACAGGACACTGCTGACAGACCAGCATGAGGCTTTGCTCAATGCCCAAAGAAAGAAGTGGCTTAAACTGTGCCACCTTAACAGATGGAGTCCCATGGAGGAATTGTGGCTCCAAGTCTCTCTGTGCCTTCCACTCTTCTAGGATAGAAAGTGTAATTTACTATTATATCCCTTAGTCATCCTTTTCTCTCCATTTGCCACTCCGTTCTCAAACAGGAGGGTGTTTGGTATTGGTATCATAGACTTTGTAGGCCTGTCAGCGGCATATAACACAGCCACTGAAACCTGCTTGCCAAACACAGGACCCATTATCATCCCTTTCTTGAATCCATCCTCTATATGCTGATTGATGTTTAGTATTTGGCTAGTGCAGGACTTGTCTGGTCTGAATCTGGCTTGTTTTAGTGTTACATGTTTCTCAATATAAGGTGAAAGGCAATGGAAATAAGGCATCCATAAAACTTAAAAAGAGGGCACAGGAGTGACACTGACCTGAAGGTTCTCTGGGCCAGAGGCATCCATCCCCAGCTTTAACAGAGCTATGACATGGGCTTATCACCAAAATTTAGGTATTCTAAAGGTTGATGAGCAAAACTTCCCTGATTCTCTGTGCAGCTGTCTCAGAAACAAGTAGGCTTGATACAAGCAACTAAAGAGCAGAATTTGTACTAAAATATAATAACCTCAAGTATAAGCAGGAATTTGACTAATGGAAGTTGATGTTAAAGAAAATGGCATACACTTTTGTTTCTGGGCCATACTATCCTATTGAGCTTTTTGCAGAGATGATTTTAAATTTTGTTTGCATGTCAAAACACCTGACGGTAAACATCTAATAATAAAACAACAGAATGACATACATTAATTGATTTGCAAGCTTCAAAAGATTTCTGACTAGAATGCTGTGCAACTTCCTTATACTAAAGTACTGTTTTCAGAACTCACTTGCCATAAGTCCATAACAAATATTCCCTCAATATCTTCTAGGTGATTAAGTACCTAGACAATATATAGCTTCCAATGGTATATATAGCTTCCTTTTGAGATATACATTCACCAGCTCTGCTAGAGCTTAATACCAGAATGTGGAGAAGAGAAACAAAAATTAATTTCTCTCCTTTTAACAGTTTCACATTTCTCCTGATTGTGAGAATGTAGATATTTGCTACTTCATCCTCCTCAAGGGGAACATCTAATTTACATGCTTGCTAATTTTTCCCACTGTGTACTTCCCAAAATCACCTTCCTGTATGCAATGCATTTCAACTGGGTTAAAAGTGTGTCCTTATTTTTCCCCTTTGAGTTATCTGTACAAATACGTTTTTACAAATTCTGATGAAATTCATTCTAACAAGAAAGAGAAACCCGTTTTCTAGTCAAATATTGGGAGGAAGAAATTTCAGGATGGTAGATTTACGAGCTAAGAAACTACATTTCCAGCTTTTAAATCAATCAATCAATCAATCAATCAAAGCATAACTTTCAAGGCAAATAAGTGTTTATAGTATTTCTTCTTAGCAGGATGCCTCCATGCCTAAAAGGGATGTGTGGCTTTTATATAACTGTTCCACATATGGTTTGTCAGGTTTCCATGCTGGCTATGAAAGTCACAGGAAATCGTTTATGTAAAAGTACCCTTACTTCCAATAGGAAAAAAAGATACGAAATGGTCCAAATGTGTATCATCACATAATAAAATCTATAAAGGCACATCATTATGGGTCTTATACAAGCAAGTAAAGTCAGTCAAGACTGTCCTTTAGTATGCTGACACAACAGGATACACTAAGAAAGTAGTTAAGTGGACACCCTCCTGGATCCAGATGTTATTCTTCAACTTGAGCCTTGAACTTCCATGTTGCATTTGATTGTGTATTCAGCATTTTTGTTTTTAATTTGAGCATTTTTAAGTAATTACTATCAATCTAGACACAAGCATAGCTAGGGATGGTTTGAAGACACTCCCGAAAGGATTTTCAGAGTGGTAGAAGTTTCAACAAAACTCAAGGCACGCTTGGATTAACGAAACAAACTAATATTTTGAAACGTACCTAATTTAAATTTCCAAGAAAAAAGTCTTGAGTTTCTAGGAGGATGTACATGTTCATTTCACTTCAGAGCTCCTTATTTAACTTCAAATGAAAAAAAAAAAAGTCTTGTGTTAAGGAGTCTTTACTTGCAAGTTTTGCTGTGGCATCTGCATTCCTCAGATGGCCATCATATGATGGCCAAGAGGCCTCACTAATGCTGCTATGGGATAGCTATATGAACACATGGCAGAGAAAGTTATCATCTCTGGCATCACAAGCTCCTTAGCTCACGTGGTGACAGACAGAGAACAATCCAGAAATTTCCTAAAGCTCCATGTCAATTGGAGAGCTCATGAAGACTTGTTTCTATGAACGTATAGTTTAGTATGTTATAGCTAAATGCATCTGGAATTATATCTTTCTTACTATAAGATGTTTTCTCTTCTAAAAGAGTAATTAGTTTCCAATGCAACGACCAGCAATAATGCATCAGGAAAGGATACATGCAACATCCTCACTTGGTGAGCCTCTATCAGTATCAGCAGCTAAAGCTCCAAAGCAGCTGAAGATATCTGGATTCTGATGAGCAACCTGGACCCCTATCCTTCAAGGTTAGTTTAATCAAATGGGGAATTTTTAGACTCCTGTACACTGAAATGGTCAGTAGCCCAAAGATGACATGGGGATGTTGACTGTCAAGAGCATATGTTCTAGCCTGGCAGAGGTGGTTTCTGCAACCTACGTGGAGTACATTTGTCCATCTTATCTAGGATTGTCTTACATGGTAGGCACTTTTGGTTTCCTGGCTATTTGTGGATTCCAAGGTAAGTAATGTCACTTATTTGCCTTAAATAATATGTTGGTAATAAATATTTTGGGCTTCCAGTTTTATCCAGTAAAGTATCAGACAATTTTATTTAGATTCATACCTCACTATAATTATTTTGGCCATTAAGATCTTATGCCTAGATGACTGCACGGCGCAATCCCTGTGGTTGGAAACAAACTACTACAATTCAGGTATAATGTAGCTATCTCCACGCCCTAAAAAGAGATTCTTTGTAAATGTTCTTCCTGAACAGTGCAACTTACAGCAAAGGCTAATCAATAATATCGTGTATGGCTTGTCCTCGAGGCTTTTGTGAGAATACAGGGAAGGGAAGATATATGCAAATGGACTGGAGTCTAGCTACCCCAAATGTTATTTACATTCAAAATGAGATAGCTACAGGGTTTTTCTTCTTTCCCAGGTCTTGCCAGGGACAGGGGGCAGGGTATCATATCTTGTATAATAGCAGTAAGGTCACGTACACACACACACATACGTTGTTCTAAACTATACAACTCTGACTCACACTGATGAGAACATATGCATGAAGCTAATCCTACTAAATCAACATCAATGAAACAAGTCACATCTAAAAAACTTACCAGTATAAATAATGTAGGCCTTTGCATTTTAGAAATCATACAAGTCACTAAATATTTTACATGCCATGAGCAGCGAACACTTAATGAAATAAAAACCCGCAAACTGTTCTGGTAATCATTTGAATGTTAAATCTATTCCAAGTGTAAATGATCAATATCCACAACATTCAGAAGCTTTTTAAGCACTTTTGCTCATTCTTTTAAGAACACAGTAAGTATTTATATAAACCACCTACATACAACCTAAATTGGTGTACTTTTGAACTTTCAATTGCAAAATTTCATTTTTTTTTTTTTTTTTTTTAAGTATCACAGATGTGCAGAAAGCTTCATTTTCTCCATCTATAACTCAGTCACTGATTTTGTTTAAGTGTTTTGTACATGAACATACTCCACAGGACATAGTTTTGGGTAGATTAAATTTGTATCAAGCTTCAGCCCAGAGGCGATTTTCTTATGGATTTATAACCCTTTAAAATAGAGGTTTCCAATGGAAACTATCCAAGCCTGATAGCCGCTTGTGTTACTTAATTGTATTTGCAATGAGAGTTCTGGCTATAGAGTGAACAACTGAAATGAGAGAGGATGGTAGGAGCCATAAAAGAAAGTGATCAATGAAGTGAACCAAACCAAACCCAAACATAACAACCACAAACAGGAACTCAAATCATGAGTTTTGAATTATTCTTTTAAAAATGGAAATGCCATAGTTAGCTATTTAAGATAATTAACATAACAATGTCCCCTTGATGTGCACTACTTTACCAAGAGTGGTCAAGCTGAGATCACAGATTTTTGCTAAGGATATTCTAAAGAAAGGATCTGACCCTTTGATTACTTCTGAACAACTAGGCCTGGTTGAAACAGTGTTCAGATGCCTGCCTTAATATTCAGGATATTAACCAGTTAGGAAACATTTGTATTATGCAGGTTCTTTCAAGGGGAGTGTGATGCTTATGGAAAAAATGACAGAAGCACCATGGATACTATATGCTTAGAGACTGTTTTACATCAGTCCAGCACAGAAGGAGCTGTTCTAGTATGACAGAATTATACGTGCCTGTAGAAGTCACCAAGACTCCCCATAGGAAGTCACCAGAGCATGAAAAATACTTTCACGCATGTTGCTGCATCTACTAGCTTCAGCTGACAGTGCAGAACAAGTTCTCTCATCTACACACAGCAAATGTATTAAGGAGGCCAGTACCAAACCAGCTAAACACATAAGCCAAGTGAACCAGATTTAGTCATACAATTAAATTTAGCTAACAGAAATTATGCAGGATGTAGGGTAGATCCTTTAAGTCACATTCCTTAGTATGAAATTATTTGGGTTGTGTGTGTGTGGGTTTTTTTTTTTTTTTGTTTTTTTTTTGTTTTTTTTTTGTTTGTTTGTTTGTTTGTTTTTTTTTACACACATGAAAACATATATTATTACTTAGAACTAGTTAGAAACTGAGTAAGGACATCAAGAACCATAAAAAGTTGTGTTTAAAAATCATTAAAAGAAACATACCATCATAGTAGACAATAGCTCCTACAAGCCTATCTTTCTGTAACATTGGAAAAAGTTCCAAAGCTCTTGATTTGCTGAGGACATAGCTGCTTTTCAGACACTGACTTCCTGCTACGAGGTCATAGAGTTTTATTCCCACCCAGTAATACGGTAACTGCCACCATCTGCAGAAAATAAGAGAAGATTCCATTCAGAAAAAATTAAAATCATTAAAAGTTTTATTTAAAATAGATTTCTACATACAATTAACATGATGCATTGAATTTCTTCTTATTCTACATAATAGTTTCATAGTTTCTAGGGTCGGAAGGGACCTTAGCAGATCATCTAGTCCG